AGGAAGGGGATGATGGGCTCATTTGATTCCTCTTTCAGAGGAAAACACACTGAAGCTCTGGTCTTGCATTAGAAGGCAGTTAGTTCCATTTTCCATGGGAACTTTTGATGTGTGCCATGTTTTTTGTTGTCTCAATAAGTGGGGAATACTACTTTCAAAAATAATAAGCCATTATAAGAAAAAAACTGAATTCAGTAGCATTCATCTAATAAAGATACAAGCTTCATTTTTCAAATGACTTTGGGGATGAATATTGAAACACATTCATTGACTTAGTGTGAAACAATATTTTTTTCATGAAGGGATCCAAACTACTGATTTTTATGATTTGTGATATGGGTGAGTGATCTCAGAGTTCACAGCAGCCCAGCTGAAAAGGATTTGGAGGAATTATGTGTAATGATGCCAGAGTAATAGAAGCAATGCAGAACATATCCATTTAAAATTGAACCTTAGGTAAATAAGGACTTTAGAGTAAGAATTTCTAATGAACTATATAGGAAACTCAATAATGTATTACTTTTTTGAAATTTGAGTTTCATTGATGCTCTGCATTTTAATTGCCAACTGTAACCATTAAAAAGAAACAACAAGAATGGAAGAGATTGGGAAACAATATTCATAAATAGAGTCTAAGCCTAAAATAAATTACAGTTTTGCTTCCAACATGACCTCCTTTATAGACTGGTTGGGAGTTTCTTGTTACACATGGGGAAGAGAGAAAGATGAGTGTTGTTACTGGTTTTGTTGAGAAGAAAACCATATTCAAATTACCTTCTGTCAATGGGACATTTGTGATTCTCATAGATCCAAGGTAATCTACCTTATTTCATATGATCCGAACTTCAAAAGCAGTGTGGTAGAGATGTTTTTCCTTGAAAACCTTATCATTAAAGTAGAAATGATCTACCTTACAAAATATTGGGTTGGAATTTTGATGCTCATTCTGAAGCTGATGGAAATAAATGTGAATTTAGTCTTCTAGGATATAATGAAATTGGTAAACTAAGTGATACTTGATACTTTAAAAACATATAACTGATGACAAAGCTGGACAGTAGGGTTGTGAGAACTCAGTAACTTTGTAAAGTATATACTTCATAAGATTCTTAAGTGACACCTTCAGAAGAAATATGATTTTTGCTAATAATTTAAATCCAAACTGCAACAATTCCACCAAGCTAAAACAAAACAAAGCAAAAATGACAAGGAGTTAAGGCTAGTCATGATGTGCCCTTTTTCTTTAGGATAAGTTTGATTTTTTTAAGAAGATACAATGTAATTACACTATCACTGACAATTTTGACTCATACAAATATATGTTCAGAACTAACAACTACAAAATTGTATCACAAGTAAAATAAACATTACACCATATTTAATTAACACTGGTTTTTGTTTTTTTTTTTTTTTTTTTTTTTTTTTTTTACAAATTCTATAGAATATTTTATTATCATCATTGGGAAAACAAACAATTTGGAACATCATTTTAAACTACACATTACACAGGAGCCACCAATAAGTTATGGCAAATAGAGCATTCACACCATGGCATCACTGAAAACTAGTGAAAAAGACTAAAATATAGCAAAATAAAATTCTCTAGAGATCTTATTTAGCATCGCCTGAGGGACAGACACTTTGTGTTATTTTCTTAGCTGTTGACCTATTCATCTCCTCTTTGGTTGACAAACCAAAGAAAAGAAGATTGTGTCACTAAGTATTTGTAAAATGGTAGAACTAAAAACTAACAAAAATATGCATTTTCCTGAGACTTACAGCTCTCCAGTCTGTAATTCTAACAGGTAGGAACCGGGACAGGTGGCACTGCTAAAATTTACCTCAGAACTTTAGAGGACTTAAACAGCTTAAGTGTACATGTTCAAAAATTTATATTCAAATTCTCATTAGATCCTGTATCTTGATATTGATTGACAGTATTAATAGAGCACTACTGCCAGGTGTATCTAGTTTCTGATGGCCTCACTTTTTATTGGTTTTACAATGGTTTTTGTCTCCTTAAATATTCAAACACTTGATCTATATGCAAGCCTAATAACAAAGGAAATATTGATTTTGAGCGTTAAAATGGCAATAAAACCAGTTCTGCTGATTGTGAGCAATATCGACAATGTGTGTGTGTGTGTGTGTGTGTGTGTGTGTGTGTGTGTGTTTCTTGCCAAATATTTAATGATCTGATACATTCTCTGTTAGAAGGCATCTGTGAAATGTGAGTTTTCCCAATATGGCTGAAAGTGAACACTGGGGTTACCATATAGAATCTCCTAAGGCTTTGAAAGGATGCCTCCTCATTCTCTGTGCTCACATGACTGTATAGTATGAAGGGGACATATATGGTAATAGAAGAAGTATTTGGTCTATTGGATTCTTCAGAGTAACTGGCAGGAAAGCAAATGTAAAAAATGATTTTATTGAGTATTTTCCCTCATTCCACTCTCGCTTTGGATTTACTGCCATGGGTTGAGTAAAACTTGTATTTTAGTTTTGTTTTTGGCTTTGTAGGGCTTGTAATATAGTGTCTTAAAGTGACAGTAAAACATAAATCAATATAAATAAAATAAAACATAAAAAATGTATCAAGACATAGCTACACTTGAAGTCTATGTGTAGCCATTGTGCTCCATGGTCTCTGGAAAGACAAAACAGAACTAATGGTTTGATTGGACTGCATTCCATCATTTCTCTGTGAAGGCCCACAGTCTGCTCCATGAGTGTTCTCCACAGCAGGGCTAATGACCAGAAGACAGCCAAAAGCACCTTATATCCATTCGCCTTTCTCAGGAATACCTTTTAGTGAATTCTCTCCTGATTTATTTCTATCTTAGTTCTTCTTTAGAAGTTAAGGCACATCCATTTATCTCAGTGCCTACTATCTACAAACTAACTGTATATCCACATTGAAATCTTAAGTTCAGAAGTACCTTTTCTCTAACAAAGTTCTGTGTAGACATCATTAAAGGCAAAACCCACAAAACAGACAAAACCCCCTCTGTCCTAGTTAAGAAATTTCATTCTAATGCTTCCGTGGTTATTCTTCCCAGTACTTCATAGCAAATATCACAAAGTTGACTATGCAAACACTGTAGGGAAGCATCAAAATTCAAGAAAATATAATGTAATTGCTTCTACATTGCATTATTTTTTTGTTAACAGATTGAGAATCTCTTTTTGTCATATTGTAAGTTAAATAATGTGTCTCATTGCAACTGTGCTTGGCTATAAATGCTCATGAAGCATCAAAATTGAGCAGTCAGGAAGCAAATTGATTCCAAAAGCAAATTTGTGGATTGTAATATCAATGATCAATTAAACAGAGTTCTGATTCATCGGCACAAGAAGGTCAAGTAAAACAGACAAATAATAGACTTGCAGAGGAGAGATACATGAAGAAGGAAAATATTCTTTGTGAATTTTAATGTTTTTATTAAAATATTTTATATGATGAACTAGTGCATTTTCAACTGTTTTACAACATTTCCTATACATTGATAATGGATATTAGTTTTATTTTATTGGTTAGATTTTTGAGATAGGATTTTACTATGTTGCCTTGAGCTCAAAGGATAGCACAGGCTGCTTCTGAAGATGTCCTAATTCTCCTGCTTCTCAAGTTCTGTGGTTATAGGCATATACTACTATACCTGGCTGTGATTCATCTTTAAATTTAGTTATTTATTAATATCAGTGTTTTTATAATCTGAAGACAATTATCCTATGTTTTCCTATAACCTGTGTGTATTTGTATATATCAGTATCAACTTGCCTGACCAGAGTATGTGTGATAAAATATACGCACACAACTGGAATTATAAACAGCTGCAAAATATACAAACAGAACTAGAATTGTAAACATAACTGCTGCATGCATAGGCATGTTACTTATTCGACCACATTTTTTCATGAACATTCTATTCAGTTTAGACAATTTTTGTTCACTCTCTGCAGTTGTTAGAAAGTGCTGTTTTCTAATAAAGAATATCTATTCTCTAAGTCAACTCTTGGTTATTTATAATATTGAGATGTAAACCTTAAATCAACTCCTTATCTAGGTCAAAGGGATTAGCTTACATGTCCTTCATTTTAATTAATTATAAGCCAAGGCCATGCTTTTATTTACCCAGGAGTCTGATATGCATGGGCATGCATAGTATCAGGAAAATATTGAGGTTTGATTACTTCTATGTTTGAAGATAAAATAATTCATAATTTTAGGATCTTCAGCAATGGTATAGATTTTTTAAAATCCCTCACATTATTCTTCTGATATATAGAAAGAGGGGAGTTATGCCCTTTGAAGATTTTTTTGTTTGAGTAGTCAAATGCTACAAAGACACAAGGAGGACAGGAGGACGCAGCACTCAAAAATGTGTTAACATTATTTTGTCTGCATTACCAAAAGTGATGCCACAGAAACTCGGCCCTCTTTCCTTGATCAGAATGGAACCCAGACTGCTGAGTGAACATGAATCTGTAGAGAGCATTTGTAGTGTAAGAATTTATAAAGGAACTTTAGAGATTATGGATATAATCTCAAAAACATTCTAACTCCCTTGACATTCCTTCATTTTCTTCTTTCTAAGTTACAGACATAAATAAAGCTTCTTAAATTTTTTGGTAATATGAGTTTTATAATTATGCACTTGGAATCCCAATTTTATAGGAGGGCCTCCTGATCTTTCTTTTTTTTTTTTTAAAGAAAAATTAAAATTGTTAAGATAATTTTTATAGATGTAGATTTTTTTTTCTTCTGATTGCCACACAACTGTAGCTTGGCATTTTCAGGGCATCATGATTTAAGACTACTGAATTAAGATAGTATCTACCTCTGTATATAGTATTCTTCTTTTTAAAATATGGAGATGATGCTCATAACACTTCCAAAGATCTTTTTGTGCAATAGTCATAGCTACCTCACACAGAAATACTCTGAAACACCATTATTTTCTTAGAACACAAAAATCACTAATGACTGCCAATACTACTGATGCAGGGAAACTGATTTAATGCATATCTTCTATGAGCAAGAATTAGCTGTGATCGCCCAATTGCAGATGACTATGGAATATTTTATCAAGTCTCACAAAACAAACACATTTCAGTACAACAATGTAATCCACATTATGTTGGGCATTCAATTGTTTTGAAACCCACATAGCATCTAATTAGAAAGAGCGAGCAAGAGAGGGGTAGTGGAAAGGGTAGAAGGTATGAATAGTATAGGAGCCCGAGATTGAAATTAGAAAATGCAATCAAGTAAACACTCATGAGTTACATATCACAAACATTAATTCTGAAAAACAAAATTCACTGTTCTTTTCTATTCCTAACACTAGAAGTAGATTTTGCTCACCAAATGGGAAATGACATATTTATAGTAATGCAGAATATGGTTACAATCACTGAAGACATGATTTACCCTCTTTTCCTATTCACTGCCACCCCAAATATCTTTAGAGACTCAGTGGAATAGGAACATCAGAGGGTGTATTGATAATATGTCTAATACAATGAGGCTTCTCTATCTTACTCATGGACACTCAGGAGAGTAATATCAAGTGTTGGCTTCTCCCTCATCAAAGACATAGTTGAGTTTTATGACAGTGCTGATAAAATCGCCAAGTTCTACAAAATCAGCAGTGACAATATTGATGCCACTCTCTCCTGGCTTCTGGGTGCCGACCCACTGCATCATGGCAGGAAGAGCTCTGAAAAAGGAAACAAAAAGAGAAGTTAAAGAAAGCATTGCGCATCATCCAGGGTCTATGGCTTTCCAGTTGACTACATTAAACATGTCAAATACAATGACAGGTGGTAGAAAACTATAAAATAAACTATAGAGTCTCCTTGAGTCTTTTAAAAATGTATTCATGTGAATATGCATATGAAAATGTCACAGGGTACCTGGGGAGGTCAGGGGATAACTTGTAGAAATTAGTTCCCTCCTTCCACAGTGTGAATTCCAAGGATCAAACTCAGTCCATCATGCTTGATAGCAAATGCCTTTGCCTGTTGTGCTGTTATCTTGACCCTGAATTCTTAACCTATGAATAAAACCTGAATTAGAGATCTTATCATATTGGTGTATATTGGATTCCAGCTTTGGAGCTCTAAGAGGCTGTTAAAGTTTACAATGAATCTTGAAGTTTTCCTCTGGTTTTGTATGCCATAATCGCATATTCTCAGAACTCTGGGATGACGAGGTGAGAAACGAATCCTTGTACTTAACAAATATTTATTACATATCCATTGTTTGGGGGAAAATGTATTAAGATGCTGTAAATATCCACAAAGCAAGTATCTCTGCCTTCGAAAAGTTCCTGGTTTTGTGATAAGCAGGTGAGCAAAGAAGGAAGTTCCAGTACATAGTGTAATCATTGCTCTTTTATTCCAATCTACTAACTGAGCACCTAGTACTTACAAGTTCCCATTGTAAGCACTTGAAACATTCACAAGAACAAAAGAGAAAATCATTAGTTTCTAGGGCCAGATAGTTGGCTCAGCAGTTAAGAGTGCTTGTAGCCAAGTCTGATAAGTTTGATCCTTGGGACCTACACAGGGGAAGGCAAGAACTAACTCTTGAGTGTTGTGCTCTGACATGTGCACTGTGGTGTATATACCATTCCTTGAACACATGTAATAAGCAAAAAATTAATGTAGTAACATGTAAGCTAATATTCTAATAAAGGCATAAAATAAATAATAAACCAGTAAATTATTTCATAGTGTTGTAACTTAAGAAAAGAAGCATGTGAGAGAAAGATGCTATGTGGCAGAGTTCAAGCAGAGGGATATTTTATTAAAGAAAAGGATCATAAAAATGGGAAAGGGGAGGGAAAGAAACCAGCTTCCAGAGACGGGGAAGCAGGAAAGAGCAGCAAAGAAAGAGAGAGAAAGAGAGAGAGAGATGGGAGTTGGTCAGGGCGCCTTTAAAAGGGAACATAGAGAATATGCACAGGTGGTGCTCTTACTGGTTGCAACTGAGGGTGTATCATGTCAGAACCCCAAGGACAGGTCAGTACAGATGCCTGAATACTAACACATAGTTTGACACAGAGGAAACAGATGATATAAAATAATAAAATAAAGAAATGAAGATAGCAGTATAAGGCTGAGAACGAGTGATATACATTACACCACTTTATGTAAAGTTGCTTTTTTCTATTTTTTTATTTAATTTATTATTTTACATGTCGATCCCAGTTCCCTCTCCCTCTCTCCCTCTCTCCTTCTTATCCTCTCTCCCCCCTCACATGCACCCTAACCACCCTTCCCTCCAATCCCCCCACCCCAATTCCACATGTAGGGGAATGCCATCCAGTTGGGGTCATGTAGATCTGACAGGTCATGTGAAGTAGGGACTAGGGCTTCTCTCCTGTCTCTAGATTAAGGCAATAATCCCTCCATGGGAGATGTGTCTGCAAGGTCCTTTTGTGCACCAGGAATACATCCTGTTTCCACTGTCTGAGGTCCCTTAGACTGCTCAGTCCTTCTTGCTGAGACCCATATTCAGGGGGGCCTGAGTCAGTCCCATGCTGGATTCCCAGCTATCAGTCTGGGTGCCTGTTAGTAAAGTTGCTTTTTTTAAACAAGGAGTTAATCACATCGCTGTCTAGGAAAAGCATCCTAGCTACTGACATAGTACTAAAGGAGTAGGATAGCTAAACTTGGAAAAAGAAATGGGAGAACAGTTAAAGTGAGGATTATGAGAGGATAGTGAAGCTTTCTGTAAGGAATGTGTATCAGTTACTTTACCTAATGCTGTGACAAAATGGCAAAAGCAATTTGGGGTTTTGTTTCGTAGTAGAGAAGGCATGGCAGTGCAGTGGGAGCATGGAAGACTGGTCACATTGGCCTGCCGTCAGGAAGCAGAAACAGATACATGCTGGGGCTCATCAAGCTCTCATGCTCATTTCCTCCCTTTTATCCTTGCTAGATATGCAGGAACATATTTATAGAGAGTCTGATTTCCTCAGTTAAACTTCTCTGGAAGAAGTCACACAGACATCCCAAAGGTTTGATTTCTAGGTTATCCTAAAATTCAGTCAAATTGACCATGAGGAATAACTATCAAAGTCCACCCCTTGTCAACCTGATACTATAATACAATAGTTTTTTTTTTTTTTTTTTTTTTTTTTAATTTTGGCAGCTTTCTGGAGCCTCATTTCAAACCTCCATCCCTCATCCTTTTTGCATTTTGAATGCTTGTAAAATTAACACTGATGCTGCCAAATTCTCATGCCAGGTCAAAATGTAGTTTGACCCTTTTACCACACCTGTAATGGACTCTGAATGCTGTAGTGGCTGAACTTTGGGGAAATTTTTTCCTAAATTGTTGTTTTGGAGCAGAGAATCCCTTTGGTGGTGTAGATAGTTCAGTCTTTCTCCTATCAAATGAAGTTTCTTGCTTTGTGTGTTTGTTTGGTATCTAGGGCCTTCGTTGCTTGTTATCTTGCCTCCAAGGCAACTTCCTATTCCTATTTTCAAAATGCAAGTTTTCTCTTTAGTTGATTCCCTTTTTACTGTAAAACTAGATATACTCAATGAGCAGTAGCCACACCACAGCCTGAAAAGCTACGTTGTTTTGGAAACATCTCCCATGGTGTTAGCAAAAGGAAAAGTAAAGAGAGTGGAGCAGAATAAGGCTATCAGAAGTCAATTTGTGCATCTGCAGCAAGTGACCTTCAAAAATGGCACAAAGGACATGAGTTGGAGAAAAGATGGACTTTTCAATAAGTAGTGCTATAAACGGCATCTTCATAAGCAGAAGAATGAAGTCAGATCTCTATCCACAGTTACATAAAAATTAGGGTGAGCTGGATTAAAAATGCAAACAGAACTTGTATCTATGATACTACTAGAATAGAATACTGTTGGGCCACTTAAAGACATTAGAACATAGGGCTTTCAGAAATGAGAGCACATCTTTCCTTTTTCACAAGTGAAAATAGAAAAACAGGGCTAAACAAAACTTAAAGGCCCTTCACAGCAAAGAAAACAGACCACAGAGCAGAGCCAACCAACAGAACAGGAGAATGTGCTTGTGCTGTGTGTGATTAACAATTGATTTATATCCAAATTGCATGAAGAACCCATACTACTCTGTAGAAAAAGTAAATAAAATATCTCACCCATCAACCAATCTATCCTAAAATTGAACAATAAACTAAATATACATTTCTTTAAAAAAAAATGTAGCCAGGAAGTGGTGGTAGATGCCTTAATCCCAGCACTTGTGAGTGAGAGGCAGGCAGATGTCTGTGAGTTCATAGTCTGGGGGTCTGGAAGAGCTAAAACCAAGATGCTGACAGTTTTGATGGGTAGTGGAGACTCATTCCTTCTGGTTTTTGTTTAAAATTACCATTTTTTTTGTTATGAAGAATCCTTACATTCTTTGCCCATCACTTAGTCAATTCACGAATCTTTTAGAGGAAAGTTCAAATGAAATTTCTTCAAAACAGTAGTTTGAAATACATAGGTGACAAATGTCTGCTCCCTTACAAAACTACAAACATTTTGAGCATGAGGACTGTTTTCCCACTGTAGCATTCCTGGTGCTTGGCACAGGGTCTTTTGTGAAACTGGGCAGTCAATAAGTATTTGATAAACACACAAACAGGATTTAGTTTTAGTAATGAAAGATCTGCTTCTGGAAGTATAGGCAGAAGACACTGCTCAGTTCCCTAGGGCCTACTGTCATGAATAGTTCTGATATACTGCTCTTCTGTGGGAATAAAAGTGTTAAGAAAACTATTGAAGGATTTTGCAGATTTTCTTCTTAGCATGTCTTGTATGCAAATCTTTTAAATGACCAGTCAACTTTATAGCGCCTTCTCCTGCCTACAGTAGGTGTCATGTGTCTCTGTATAACAATGAAGGTTGTGATCATCACCTTCCCTTTAAGAATGATGCTTATTAATTATTCCTGTCAATTTCTCAAATGCATTTAACATATTTGTTATACGTACTAATTATCAGTATTTCTACTTAACTAGAATTTAATTCATTAGAAATATATTAGGAGTCCACATTGAATTCATATTCAATGATGTATACATATGTGAATGGTACACTTACACAGCTCTATTTTATACATGGTACTTCCATTATTTCTCGAAACTCCTGTATTTTATGAACATGAATAAGTAATTATGGATAATAAAGCCATTGTGTCTGTTTTAAACTTTATATGAATGTTTCAGCAATGTTTCCTTTGCTGAATGACGAGAGTTACCCAAAACAGTGACTGATTTTTATAGGATCTTCAGTTCACTGGTGATATGAACTGTTGTGAACACTAAACATGTCAGTGTCCTTTACTGTGTGCTGGAGACCAATCCACAGGATTTTAAACAATGCTGGGTTTTCTTCTCTTAACTAAACTTAAGTCTAAAATTTTTTTAAATGTGATTTCCTGTCAATTTGCCAGTTCTAAAGGCTTGGAAATTTCATTTCTACTATAAAGAACAGAAAGATAAAGCAAAAGACACTCTTGGATTGAAGCTGGCATTTCACACATGGAAACACATAGTGGTCCACAGAGAGACTTCATGTCTTCAGGTTAAACAATGGTGGGTCTTCGAAATACCCCAGGGTAAACGGGTGTGTCTCATAAATTATAAACTCCACAAACTCAGTATCTCTCACACACATAAACAGATACACACATGCATATACATGGTTAGAAGTAGCATATCTGATTAAAGCT